TAACATATGATCGATAACATGAATCTAATCTAATTTACATTAAAATTTCAACCCACAACATACAATGATATTCTTAAAAGAATACTTAAATCAAGAAATACAAAAAAAGAATTAGTAAAACAACTTACAAATTAAAAACTTCAACATAATAACATGGCTCGAAAAATTGTTCAAAGCCCTCAAACCAACACAAAAACTTTAAACTTGTTTTCTTTGTGAATTTTGATGTGATTTGTATTTGTGTGTCTACTCAAAAAGATTGACATTTTTTTAGTAGAGTATCCATTAATTGTTTATTAAATATATTATATAAGTTATAAAACCTTTGAATTGTTAATCATTATTAAGAGACTTTTGAGCGGTATTCATTAAAATAGGAGGTTTCAATGCATGAGGTGTTTGCAAATTTTTATGGGGGTTTCAAATGCATGAGGTTCAAGGAAAAATGCTAGCTTTATAAGTATGTATGACTAGATGAATTTTCACGCGTTGCGCAGCGCAGACTAAAAATATATTGTTAAAATATTGAAAAATATATGTTTAAAATGGTTATGTTATTGACATTAACTTTGAGATAATATTTTTACATTAATTTCTATATATATTATAATATATATATATAATATATATATATATATATATATATATATATATATATATATAGTCTCAATTATTTTGAACAATAATATCCATTGACATCAACCCACCTTCCTCATTAATAGAATTAAATATAATTATCTATTTAGTATTATTTTTTAACAGTTATTATGATTGATTAACTATATTTTTACTTACGCGATCATTTTTTTATTTCAATAATGATGTTCATTTAAAATACAATTTATTTGTAGCTAAATGTAATTTATAGTTTGATGTTATTATCATTTAAAATTATTATTATTAGTTTTAAACCACTTATTATTAATAATAAGTTAAAGAAGACTTTTAAGAAACACTTAATATTATTATTAAAATGTGAAACATACACTAAATAATAAAGTGAAATGATAGACAAATTGCATTTCAAAAGAGACTTGCATGGATAATATGACATATCCATGATTTTTATAATTTCATTTTATTATTTATAATTATTGCTCATTAATTTTAAAACCTCTTATTGTTATTAATAAGTGAAAGAAACTTTTAAAAAGCACTTATTATTATAATTAAAATGTTAAACATATACTAAAATATAAAGTGATAAGATAGACAATTTGCATTTTAAAAGAGACTTACATGGATAATATGGATAATATGACATATCCATGATTTTTAATTAATTATTGCTTTGAAGCAACACGAAGATACAAACATGTATATAATAGTTAATTAAATAGTATATATCACCTTCCATAACATATGATCGATAACATGAATCTAATCTAATTTACATTAAAATTTGAACAATAACTTACAATGATATTCTTAAAAGAATACTTAAACCAAGAAAATATAAAAAAGAATTAGTATATAACAAACTTTCAAATTAAAAACTTCAACATAATAACATGGCTCGAAAAATGGTCCAAAGCTCTCACACCAACACAAAAACCTTTCAACTTGTTTTCTTTGTGAATTTTGTATGTCATTTGTATTTGTGTGTCTATTCAAAGAGATTGGTCTTTTTATAGTAGACTATCCATTAATTGTTTGTTAAACATATTATATAAGTTATAAAACCTTTAAATTGTTAATCATTATTAAGAGACTTTTGAGTGGTATTCATTAAAATAGGAGGTTTCAAATGCATGAGGTGTTTGCAAATTTTTTGTGGGGGTTTCAAATGTATGAGATTCAAGGAAAAATGTCTCCTTTATAAGTATAGTTTTCTTTGTGAATTTTGTATGTGATTTGTATTTGTGTGTCTACTCAAAGAGATTGACCTTTTTAAAGTAGACTATCCATTAATTGTTTATTAAACATATTATATAAGTTATAAAACCTTTGAATTGTTAATCAATATTAAGATACTTTTGAGTAGTATTCATTAAAATAGGAGGTTTAAAATGCATGAGGTGTTTGCAGATTTTTATGTGGGTTTCAAATGCATGAGGTTCAAGGAAAAATGTCTTATTTATAAGTATAGTATGATATATATATATATATATATATATATATATATATATATATATATATATATATATATATATATATATATATATATATTCGATTTATTGTCACTATAAGTTATTTATAAAACTCCTTTTTTACATCAATTTGAATTATAAAGGTTTCCAAAGTACCCGTTTTTATTTTTAAGGTATTTATTGTATATGAATTTAATTTTATACTCATTTATATATAATCTTTACGTAAAATATTTTTAAATATTGTTAATAAATTACATTTTACTGAATTATATATTCCAGTTCTTTTTAAAAATAGTATTTTAATACTCTTTTAATTTATTTGACATACGAAAAATGACGGGAAAACGTTTAAGCATTATATTTTTATTTTTTGTAATAAAACCATCATATTTTTGAAAAACGTTTTAACCCGACCATTATGACTTGAAGCAGCTAGTAAATAGAGGTTACAAATTAATTTGAAGCATTTGAGACTAATAAATGTAAACTTAAAGCAAATTCGATATTCCCCCAACAAACTAGCATGAGGATTTTAATGTGAAGTCGATGCAACCCCCAATCGATCGATATTGAAGTTTCATTAAAGTTGGTCTTCTGAAAGGATTACAAAATCAAAGCAGGTTGGTTTCTTTACCAAGTTTTTGAGTTATTTTAGTAAATCGAACACAGTAAATTGAAACTTAGGGCTTCGTTTTTTAGGTTTCACGTCAAAATCGAACTTAGGGTTCACGTTTTATGTCATATTCGAATATGGAGTTTTAAGGTTTTGTATCTGATTTCAAGGTTTCCTGTCAGACTCGATTTTAATGTTTAATAAGACCTTCCACCTCGTATGCTTGCAAATATACTTGCAATGCCTCTTCATTAATTTGAAATGCCACATAGGCTTTGGTCTTTCACCATTTGAAAGGCTTGCAACTTGGTTATTATTATTTTTTTAATCAAATAGCATTATTTAAATATTAAAACCAATTATATATACCCCATTTCTCAATTGCAAATGACTTTGGAACCAATTTACCAATTATATATACTTTATTTCTCAATTGCAAATGACTTTGGAACCAATTTAAGATGCTGACGATAAATTTTGTAATGTTTGGATTTTCATGTTTTACAATGTTAACTATTTTTATTTTTCAATTATAGATAATTATACTCATGTTATTTTATTATTCATTATTATTATTAATATTTACCACTTTTGAAAGATGAATAATATTGCAGTGGTGTAAACCTAATTGAAAAAGATGATGTGGGATGTTTGAAATACTAATTGGCATTGCACGGATGTGGATGGTCTAACAGGTTCGACTTGGGGTTTTTTTTTTTTCTCTTATAATCCATCACTATGTGTTTGCAACATTGATTATTATGTTATGATAGGTATGTAATGGCATCATCTGCAAATGTACATGATTTTACTGGTGACTGTGATGATGGAATCAGTGATAATGAAAGTTTGGATGCAACTCTTAAAGATGAAATAGCAGGGGGTATGAACATCACTCAAAATGATGAGTTTCACAATTTTCTATGTGATAATGGCAAGCTGTCGAATTCATTTGCTGAAACTCTTGGGCATAAAGAAGAATCAGGTGGGTCACAAAGTATACCCGAGGCTGATGATGATGAAGAAGAGATTGAATATGAATTTCCCGTCCATAAGCCAAAGACTAAATGGAGTCTTATGAAACCAATAGAAAAAGAAATATATGAGAGCCCACAACAACTGAAATTTGCTTTGACCAATTTTGTGGTAGCAAATGGGTATCCTCTATGATTTACAAGATGTAATAATAAAAAGATACAAGTTAAATGTGGCAAAGCGGGAGATAGAAAACATGTCCATTTGTTCTTTGGGCGTCATGGATGGACGTGATCCATATTTTCAAAAAATGATGATTGTGGGGAAATATTTATGCATTAGAATTTATGATTTTTGTGCACTTCTAAACCCAAATTGGATTGCAAAACACTACTTGAAGGAGTTCATTGCTAAGCCCAATATGAATTTAGATGAATTTAAAGATAATATACAAAATACATTTATTTTAAGGTAAGCAAGAGTATAATGTCGCTGAGACAATATAAGAATTTAAACAATGATTGAAGGCAAGATTACTAAGCACTATGAGAGGCTGTGGGATTATGCAAATCAGATTAAACGATTAAACCCATGATCTATTGTGTAGTTAGGCGTTCATGTTAACCCTGGTGGAAACTACTTTCTTAGATTCTATGTATGCTTCAAAGAATTGAAATATGGATGGAATAAAGGGTGCCGAAGGAATGTTAGATTGGATGGTTGCTTCTTAAATGAAAAAGTGAAGGGTTAGTTGCTTGTTGTTGTAGGTAGAGGCAGAAATGATCATATATATATCCTATCGTGTGTGTGTGTGTGTTGGGTGGGGGGGGGTTGTAGATGTAGAAAATAAAGATAAATGGAAATGGTTTATCGAATTGTTGAGTGACAACCTTGGACTAAATGGCGGTATGGAATTGTCTATTATTTCAGATCAAACAAATTGAAGCAGTAAAGGAGGTCCTTCCACATGCAGAGCACATACAGTGTGCGAGGCATATCTATGCCAACCTGAGGAAAACATACCTTAGTGTGGTATCAAAGAAACGTTTTTGTCAAGCTGTGAAATCCACTGTTGAAGTGCAATTCAAAGCGCACATGAATGCCATTAAGGCAATAAGGTATGGCAGGTTAATGTTTTTTATTATTTATTTATTTATTTTTTGAATTTTGTATGGTTAATATGTGTTATACTTTTTGTTTCCTTTGTATTACCGTGTAGGAGCATATGAACGTTTGATGACTAGGAAGCCTAATTCATGGTGTATGACATTATTTGAATCAAGAAAGGCATGCGAAGCAGTTGAGAATAGGAATCCCGAGTCATTTAATTTGGTAATTGATAAAGCAAGGAAGAAACCGATTATCACAATGTTGGAAGAAATTATGTTATACATGATGAACAAGATTAACACAATGTCTAAGCTGTTGGATTTTATGTACTCTAACATCCTATGGTGCACATACAACCCTAATGCCTTGGATCTAAGTTTTCTATAATTATACATGCAACAAAATCATCCAAAGCATGAAACCTATAACTAGCATACAAATGAAGATATACAACATAAAAACAAGTTGGAAGATTACCTCCTTGTTGTAGCTTGTAGAACATGGCCTTTAAGAGCTTAGCACCCCAAGTGTGATGTCTCAAACAAGTCACACACACACCATGAACAAGTGGAAGATGATGAGAGAGAGGTTAGAAAGCTCAAAATCGGCTAGGGTTTAACCATAGGAGTCTTGGGGCTGATTTTAGCAAGCTATGGGCTTTATTTATAGTTTGGAATTCCTAGGGTTTCAACTTGTAAACCCTAATTCACTTGGGCTTTTAATCCAATAACTTATTAGCCTTATGGACTAACTCTTTATGGACTCTCACAAAGATTTAGTCCATTCCTAATCAACATGGATCATTAGCCCAAACTATAAATATCACTGATTTACATAGTCAGTCCCTGGAAATTTAATTAGCCTCTTTTGATCACTAAATTAATTCCAAATTAATTATTGATCAATACCAATTAAATAATATGATTTCTCAATTAATATATTATTCTTATAATATATTAATAAATCACAAATAACCTCTTTCTCAAATATCCATCCTATCAAATTGTTCTGATGAAGGCAACCCGAAATGGACCATGCTGCTCTCGGGTCAAGTACATACCAATTATAGTTATGGGATTAGACACCTAATCCAACAGTATCCCACTTGGATAAGTCTAATAACTATAACTGCAAGTACGACTTGAAAAACCGACCATCAATCGTAGCTCTCAAAAGCCGTTGTCGAACTCTGAAGCGTCCATTAGATAAGGGATCATATATTTCTCCGTTCTACAAGATATCGTATGAACTGAGATATGAATTATAATCATTCTCTCTGTTCATGTGTTGTTTCCCGATTTACGATTTCTGACGACTGACTAATTGAACAAATCAAATCAGTCCAGGCTTGGCCAAGCGCTTAGGGTGTCATCACTAAATCATCGAGGGGCCCACAAATATCGCTTTTATCCCTTTTAGGGTAAAAGAAACAAATAAATTTTGACTCATATGCTTGCTCTATTTACTTATCAAATCACACACAACAATACGTTTTGTAACACCAAGTTACTAGTGCGTTTTCATATCATCAATATGCAACCGACTTGTAAACTACAACTCACATGTCTTGGTTTCAAGAATATAAGATATTATCGTCTCATGATCAATCGTGATAAAATCCATGAAGTGATTCAAATGAGCTTGGGTTTGATCCAATACTCAAATCTTATTACAGGAGTACTGATGAACACTGCAGCAAACTTGTGCTATGTCTAAACACTTTAGACAATCTACAGTCGGATTCATGACATCCTTACCTCATTACTTACTTCCAAAGTATGATTGACTGTGGATGTTTGAATAATCGAATTCAGTTTGGTCTCAAAACTTTTGAATATAAATAAAACACCTTTTATTTAATCACTATATTGATTACACATTTTTCATTGTATAATGTTTCGATTAATCAAATCACAACTTGAATTAAAACAATAGTTATGCCATGCTCCAAGCATGCACACTATGTTTACCTATGGTCCTTTCTTTGTGAAATAGATCAATTGAAAACATTTCCAATGATGCTCAATTCACAACTCCAAATCCTTTATGTAAGTGTAAGAATACAAAATTCTTTCCACTATTAGAATGTGTTAGATTTTAAACTATCATGCAATGATCCTTTTGTAGTGTCAATGCACCAAAGTCACAGAGACTTGAACAATGATATTACAAAGTACTCTACTGGAGATTGTTACAAGATAATTCCACATATACGAAGTCTCACATTCAAAGTACATTCCTTTAAACATCTTTCTTGCATGAACGTTTCTAACTTACACATAGATTCTTAATATCCAACTCCCATTATGGAAATTTCCATATTTGCCATATGACAACTTATTCTTAATAGAGTTCTATCTATTCATAATCATGTCAGTATGGTCCATCCATTACTATACTTCCAACTGTCCATAAGCAACCAATCTTTGGCGAACATTACACTGTCCTTGAAAATTGTTTAACAACTTTAGCCATATACATTTCTAAACCATTTTCCCTCTTAATGCCCTAGGCATTTGGAAAAATCAGAACACATAAAAATTATAGCATATGCAATCGATCCTATACCCGAAGCATACGGTACACGATTGATAATGTCTTACACAAAGACATGAGTCTTTACCAGTCTCTTGCTATAATATTTCCATATATATAATTTCCTTATGTTGAATCATTTCAACATAACATTCATATATGTCCTTGACTAAATTTGACTAAAATCTCAATCTAAACTTTTAGATTTGAAATGAAGTATAAGTTACTCTCCCTTAATTATAGCAAAACAACTTTTCAAACTGTGCAGCTTTCCAAACTTTTGTTTTCTATAATTAGCATTGCTAAGTCGCAATACTTAACGTAATAATTGTGCTCCCACTAGCATAATAATTAAAATCTTACTAGTAGAACACTTATGCTCCCACTAGCTTTGACATGTACCCAGAAATCAATTGACCTTCTAAAAATCAATGCTTATTGATTTTCTTTCCAAAGTTTAGATTTCTGATATAAGATGCTTTGATAGGACCTTATCTAGGCTTCTCAAGCTCATACACCTTTCAGTAGAAAGCTCATATGTGTGTTTAAACTATTTCAGAACTTACAATAATAAGTCCCGAATGTTTAAACTATTTTCCATTTCTCACAATTCGAACCATGAAGAGGGATGCCGTAATCATACTCGAATTTGAGAATGCAATTAACACAACTACAATCTCTTTAAAATCTTCTAGTGAAAGCATTTCCTCACAATCATTTTCATGAAGGAGGGAAACCTTTTGCCACTTAGATTTTATGGTGTATGTGTTCCTATCCATGTGAATATGCCATTTCCAGCCATTTCCATAAGATAAGGTCTCTGACAAATTCAAACTCATATGGACTGAACTTGTTCAATCTAAATTTCTTGCCATTTAGTAGCCCAAGAGCCTACCATTGCTTCCAGGTTGTTCAGCAACTCACTCTTACTGATCAATGAACTTTCACTGATCAAGATGCTTTGCGTTATGCAAACAGATGAGAACTCATAGAACTCACATGCATAGTCAACTTTAACTGGAATGGGAACAGAAACAAGAATATGTCAACACGATAGGTTACAAACCTTAAGTCGTGTGTTAGCGATGAACAATAGGTTTATTCTTGATTAGTCCCTGAAACGTTTCAAGATCTTTAAGACTCCCACTGACTACTTGACATATAAGTTTCTCTGGTCAAGAAACATTCCTTGACTAACTAATATCCAAGAGTTAGTGTGGATTCCTATCAAGACAAACACTTCACACAATTGGTCTTAGTTGGTATTTGTTTTATCACAACTACCAATTACAAATGTGTTATAAACCTACTTAAGATATGTCACTCAAGGCATAATCTTGGAGTATGACTCTAAGCCTTGATACTGGAACGAAGTATGACTCATCCTTTTGATTTTAACCATTTTAACAATTCCCGATACCTCTCCTTAGTCATATAAATGCACTAAGGTCTCCGTAGAGGATCAATTGAGACATGGTTCCATAATCATAAGGATGATCATATAACATGATACTAAAGTACCCTCCTTTCCTTTCAGATTGGAGAAACTT